TCTTCCCCACAAACACCCCCACCCTCAGCAGAACCTCATTCTCTCCTCTCCCACCTCCTCACCCTCCACTGCGCCAGCACAGCCCCATTCTTCACCCTCTCCAGCGTAGTAGTAGGCGGCGGCATCAACAAAGGCGTGGTAATGCTCGCCGCCGCCGCCTCCCCCTCCGGCGAATCATCCTCACTCCTCCTGCCCCCCAAAGTCAACTCCCCCCCCGACCCTCTATGCCTCGGAGCCCTCATCATCCTCTTCTGCAAAAGTGAAACCGCCGAAGTCGTCTGCGAAACAGCAGCAAAATCATCCTCCTCCGTAAGAGAATTCACCCTCGCCTGCTTCGTCCCCTCCGGCCTCATCAGACCCGGCTCCTCCAAATTCTGAATCCTATGCCCCCCCATCCCGTCCGAGTTGTTCCTCCCCCCACGCATCCCGTTCACCCCATCCAACGGCATCTCCCCCTTCATCGCACCAAGCACCTCGTTAGCAGTAGGCCGCTCGAGCGGATTAACCGCCAGAAGCTTCTGAAGTAACTGATACAGCTTGTGCGGCAGATCCGGCCGCTCCCTCCGCTCATCGTGAAACCCCTTCCAGTCCGTAATCTCGGCGCGGAGCTGGTCGATATCCTCCAACTCCTCATTCACCGCGTTGGCAAAGTGGTAGGGCAACCTGCCAAAGCACATGAAATACAGAATCATCCCCAACGAAAAGATGTCCGACTTGGTGGTAAAGTTTCCGTACCTCCCCGTAACATCCTTTTTGAGAACCTCCGGCGCGCAGTACGAGATCGTACCCGTCGAACCGGTCGACTTACGAACCGCATGTTCCGGTTGGACTTCCCCAAAGTCGCTAATCAGGCAAGCCAAATGAGCCCCCTCGCGATGCAGCAGACAGTTACTAGGTTTCAGGTCGCGGTGGATGTAGTTTGCAGCATGCAGATAGGCCAAGCCGGACGTAATATCCTTGAAGAGCGAGTAAATCTCCTCAGGGGGCAAGCGACGCTGCATCTTGGGACGTTCTGTCTGGCCCTTGGAGCGACGGCGCATCTGGGCCTTGAGCTGCTCCTTCGTGGCCTCCCTCGGCATGTCGCCAATGACGTAGTGCAGCAGATCGCCGCCATTGCAGTATTGCTGCAGGATGAATGCGCACGCAACTACAGGCGCAAACTGGCTGGTCTGATAGTCCTCAAGCCAGACGTGCCGGTAGGAGACAAGGTTGGGATGGGAGAGCTTCGCAAGCAGCTCAACCTCTACCAACACCTTTTCAAGCCAGGCGTGGTCATCTCCCACTGGCACCCTTTTGCAGGCAAACTCTCCCAGAAAGCAGCCGTCAATCTCGTGCCGCACAAGCAAGACAACTCCCTTGCCGCCTCGGCCAAGCTCTCGCTCCTCGATAAAGAAAGTATTAAAGTAATTCGGGCTGAACGCCTCTCGTCGAATGCGGCCGCCGCCTTGGTGAGGCGCCGGTGAGCTCCTCACAGACTGGGCGTCTTGCCGTCCAAGCTCGCTCCCGTCTTCATCAGACACCGAGGCCGGAAACGGTTCGACCAACCGCCGGATAGGACTCGACGGTGGCGGGAGAGGCTGCGTGTGGTTCCGTCGATACTGGCCGGCGCGCAGCATGCGGAAGTAATCGGGATTGACGTAGGTTTCATGGCTCGTCGCGGGCTCAAAGCGCCTCTCGGGGGATGATGTTCGCAGGCTTTGGTGGCAGGTGGGACATTTTGTCAGTTCGAGGCCGCGGATCTCGAGACGCTGCGAGGTGGGGTCGCGGACGACGATGGCGTTGTGGTGACGGCTGCGCAGGAATGTTTATCAGTCTTTGTGTGTTTTTTTTTTCCAGAGTCGCGAGGCATGGAGCTTGACGGGGAAAAGTGTTCAAGAGAGCAATGAGACACATTGCAGTAGGTGATGCTGTCGTGGGGGTGACGGGAGTCCCAGTGGCATGCATGGACTGCCCCCAGATGGTTTTGGTGGGGGAATGACGTACAGAACAATCTCGCGACCTTCGCGCTCGTGGTAGGGAACAAGGGACATGGCTGGCGTGGACGGGGTGGAAATGGTATGGATATCCTCAGGATATGATCCCAGAGTAAAGATGTCCCATGCTGGTCTCGATATGACGATGCGCTTGCTCTCTTCTCTTTGTTTTGAGAAGGATGCGAGATGGAGTTTCGATGTTTTCGTTGTTGCGGTGACAGGGGCGTTGGTGAATGATTGCCGGGGTTGAGCTCAACGGCGGAGGGCTTGGTCCGGGGTTTTAGCGCATCGAACCACTGCAGCCAGGTCTTGGCAGCAACGGCTCCCCACTGAAGCTTCCTACACATCATCTCCGGGAACTATCTCCTGTTTAGATTCCCCAGATGCATCGTGTTACAGCCACATACATGCCCCATCTCTCTCAACCTCACTCTTCATTGGATGCCGCTCACCTGCTAACCATTCGCCGCCAGCACCACAAACATATCACGATCCAACACGTCGATGTGTGATACCATCTCCCATTGATTAGTCAACCAGCATATCTCGGGATAACTGCCCCCCCCCCCCACCCCCTGACCCTCAGCAACTAGCACCCTATACTATTGCTCTTGTCGTGCTGTTCCCAGGAGGCCTAAACCCCACCCCCTTCGTCTCACTCCCCGGACCAAAATCTGGTTCACCACCCAAAGACCCAAGCACATCACCAATATAATTGCAAGGCTTAATCCCCTTGTCAAAAACCGCCCCCCAATCCTTCAGAATCCCATTCACAATCTCAATCCCCGCAAGATAGAGATTCTGAATCGCAACCTCGAAGCCATTCTGCTTGAGAACAAGCAAATGCTCATAGGCAGTGACGTTAGGAGGAGGACGGTCAAAGTTAGACCCTGTAACAAACACAACCTCATCAGTCGAGCTTCTCTCACCAAAACAAAACAAAACAAAGCAAAGCAAAACAAAACAAAACAAAACAAAAAACCTCACCAGTCCTCATAACAACAACCCTCGAAAAGTCCACAACCCCATAAACCGCCATCCTCACCAACGAACCCAGCACCGCATTATCCTCCTGCGCCGTCATGCAGTACCTCCCCGTCCCATTCGTCCAAACCCCCGTCGTCCTCTCAAACGCCTCGCTCAGCAACGTCCCCGAGTAATAAACATCGCTCGTGACGGTATCACACTTGACCACCTCCGGCCCGCTCGACGCCTTGGCAAAAATATTCCCCTCCGGCTTATACCTCGCCCGGTACTTCTTCGAGTCCTCGTTATCGCTCAAATTCGCCCTGACGGCATAGTTAAACGCCGCGTCCCGCAGCGCGTTGCTCACCTCAAACACTTCTGTCCCGTACAGAATCTTGGGGTACTCCTCCGGCTGCGTGGTGCCATAAGCAACATACCCCGTCGTGAAGTTGTCTGGCATCTCCCGGGCGTCGAATTCGTATTGGAGGGCTACTTGGACGGTGTACCGCGCCAGGGCTACGCCGCCGATGGTGGAGTACTTTGGGTTTGCGCCTGCTATGCCGGCTAGGAGGAAGTATGTCTTTGTGAGGTTGAACTTGGGGGAGAGGAGGAGGGCCATGGCCGACGAGGCGGCGTTGATTTCGCCTTCGCAGGTGGTCACCTGGCAGACTTGGAGGTCTTCTCTGCAGTGAACGTGGGGGTATCGTGGGGAGAGGCCGGGGATGGTGATGTTGACGGCCAGGAGGTTGCCGTGGCTGTTGGGGGGCATGTTGTCGTACCAGACTTGGGCTTCGGGGGCGAACTGGACTGCGGGTTAGCTTTGGTGAAGTTGGGTTGTGGGGTAGGTACTTGCCATGCTGACGATCATGACCTTGGGGGTGATTTTCCCATCAAGTCTCGGCTCAGGAGGGCTGTTTGCGATGCTGCCATTCCTCGGAGGAGTAGCAGCGGCCAAGCCAAGCTGGCCACCGCGCAAGGCCAGAAATGCGGCGAACGCGCACGGCATGAAGCGCATATCGACCGTTGACAGGGTTGGCTCAGGGGGAGGCCCCAGTCTTTTCTTTGTATCACCCTCGAGACGCTTTCGCTTCGTTGTGGAGGTAAGAGGGATGGAGGAAGGTGGTCGACAGATTGACCTGAACGAGGGTAGGTGCAGCGAGTTAAATGAAATGACTTGTTCTGCAGTCATCCCTCCGAGACAAGCAATAAAGCCCGGGAAGAAGAATTCTTTTTGTCTTTTTCATGGTGAGGCGTTCTTGTGTCAAACTCGATGTCGGGCCTGTGCCTGCCCGCCCGTGGCAGCTGATCAAGACTAGTGAATATCTCCGCGTGAGTGACTCCGTCCCAGATATCATCAGCTGGGGGGAGTAGAGTTTGTGGGACCGAGTAGGGAATTGAGATGATTTCGCCATTTGTTGAGGAGAAGGTGAAGAAGTGTGCTAGTTGCTCTTGCTCCTTTGGAGGTAGAAGAGCACGTACTTTTACCAGCTTGCAGGGTGAAGTCCAAGAGTGAATATTGTCCGCCACCGGCATCGCTTTTCTCCACCTCCTGGGAACTTCTCACATATCGATTTCTCGTGCGATTCGATTCCGCTGCCGCTGTGACATCCGGGTAGAATTCCCTTGGCTTATATCGAATGCATTGCATTCTTCTTGTGGATGTGTAACCAACGATCTCAAGAGGTAAACGAGACATGCAGTGGTTCCTGCCACGATCGTTCCGTGTACTACGGCCTGTCAAGCCGTCTGTCGGCCAGAGTTTCCATTGGGTGCCGAACGAGTTTGTCTCAGGTTCTCAGACGTCAACGAAGCTTGGTTGAAGTTTGCCTCAGACAAAACTATTGTTTTTTTTTTGTTTTTATCTCGGCTATCATTACCGATGTCAGCTGGAAAGGAATCTCTAGCTTGTAACCCACAAAGTCACCGAGGTCAAGCCAGCAACGCAAGTTTGAGCGTCCAGTGCCGTGCGTTGCTCTAGACAGTATCTTGTTTTGTCAGACCACAGACCAACTGTGTTCGCATCAACCCCGGAAGGACATGAATACAGCAACCATGATACGTGCGCTTCGCAGTTTCTATTTTTGCTTTTCGTCATCAAAAACCTGCGCAAGCTCATATACCCGTACACGTGGCGGTGGAGCTCAACGAAACCTCAGAGGAGCGCTTCCGGCCTTGTTGAACCCATTCCCAGGGACGCGGCGCGAGGGAACGGTTCGGGACGAGTGGTTCGCGTGTGAGCTAGAGGTTAGCCAGCCCTGGTTCGGCCAGTGAAGTGGCTGGTGTATTTACCCGGCTTAAGTGATTTTGCTACAATAAAGAGGGGTTCCTGGCCAAAACACAGGCCAGAACTGTCTTGGCCCTTCGTATTGATGTTGAAGAAGCTATTTTTCTGCTGTTCGAGACAACAAAACAGCTGGTCATGGTGGCGGTGTAGTTACCGAGTGTTAGCTCCGGCCTCGAGAGCGCCGCTGACTTGCAGCTCCGATAGTGAAAATGCATCATCGTCGTTGCGTTGATGGTGATCTGGGTGTCATGGGCGAAATTGTGGATAAATTGATGGTCGGTGGAAGGAAAGTTATGAAGGAGCTGCTTTCCAGTTCCCCGGTTGGAAAGGGGATGGCAGTGAGGTGTATTTATTGACGTGGTTTGCCCGTTTGATGATGTGATCTGTACTCTTGTCTTTTAATAACAACGACTTCTCTCCGTCGCCAGAAAAAAAATGAAGTTCTCTCTCGCTCTCATCACAGTTGGTCTGTTCGGTGGTGCGCTTGCACAGCAAGGGGTCCAGTGCCCAGGAAGCTGGTATCTTCAGCCAGATGACTGCATGTGTATGAACAGCAGGGAGGGATATCTGCTCAAGACACAGACGTTGGATTGCTGCAAGAAGCTGGGGTACAAGACTTATAACAACGTGAGTACCTGACATATACAGCCAGACGGGCATGTGATGGAGGCTGACACGCTGACGCTCGGCATATAGATCTGCGCCGTGGACAGAAACAAGCGCCAGACGTTCAAGGACTGTTGCAAGGATCTAAACCAGGAGAGCGTCATTGGCCATTGCCGTTGAGGTTGAGAAGGTTAAGACTTAAGAGGGCGATCGGTGGAATTTGGGGAAGGCCATCATCCATGCCGCCATGTTGACTTGGCTTGAAGCTTCGAGGTTGAATGGCGTTTGAGGCTTACGGGGGTGAGAAGTGGCCGCGGGTGAAACGTTCAAGGAGGTCTCCGATTGGAATTGTGTGTAATTGGATGAAATCATGAAGTTATGAGAAACGTGGAAAAGAAAGACTGAGAAATAAGATAAGTCAAAGAGTTGCGAATATCTGAAGAAGTAAGAATTGGAGATATCTTTGATGTTGGTTTCCCGAGCGTGGCCCGTGCACATAGATGTGGGCCCGACGCGCTAGAATGCGCGAATGTTCTTCTCCAAGAGCTTCTCCAAGAAGAATTGCAGGGCAGCCATGCTTCCAACCTGATTGATCGCCTACAAAGCACCACTTGCCCACCCCCCGGCTCCGTTTCTCTGTTTCTGTTATTGTTGGTTCCCCTGGCTTGTGTTCTCAGTCATGTCAATCATGGTGACCTGACCTTTTCCACAGTCGTCGCCTTCGGCCGTATCCCACCACTCGAATATCCAGCCTTGCGTCATGGCTCCTCCAAAGCTCAACGGGCAGCTCCCGTACCAAAGCTGCAGACGTTTGTTCCAGCAACAAGCTCTGTCGAGACGAACCTTTACGACATCTTCCCCATCCTTCTCGAACGTGCCCAAGCAGACGTCGAGATTCGCGAAAAAGACAGAAACCCAGGTCCCTCCCGTCGACCAAACCCAGCCGAAGCCGAATGTTGTGGTAAACCCACCAGCCGCACCGACGACCGTGCCGAAACCGTCTGCTGTGCGCCGTCCTGGCGTTGGGACACCTACAATGGAGCCAAAGCAGCCGGTGGACATCAACAGCAAGGAGTACAAGCGTGTGGCGAGAAAGGTCACGAGCCTCATGGTTGCGCTGCCCTTCTTGATTGTCACATCGTACTACCTCTGGGACCGACGTAGGTCTCAGCCCATCAGATATGTCGTGATCCTGTTGTTGACTCTTCTTCCCAAGTCTCTCTTGGCAGGCCAGTCCCTCCTCCGTCCGATGATGCCTCCTCCGCTCCGTCCTCTGAGCCCAAGAAAGCGTAGCGTTGTGATCGACCAGCCGAATGAATGCGTTCAAACACTCTCCAGCAGGTTATTCCCTGCGTGTCAGCAACAAAAACGTGGCATCCAGTGGGCTTCCGTTTGTAGCAGGATGCTCCTTGTTTGGTCGTCGTTGTCAAATATCAGCTCAAAGGTGGCTCTCAATGCGAACCCAGGATTGCCGAACAGAATCCTAGAAAACACTTTTGGATTCTCATCATGTTTACTGCCTCCCGACTTCTTCTTGGTCCGGCCCACTCTCAAGGTCGGCCACCTCCGTCATCAGTCCATGAAATGTTGTCCTGAACAACATCTCTCTCTCTCTCTCTCTCTCTCTCTCTCTCTCTCTCTCTCTCTGCTTCTCTCTCTGCTTCTCTCTCTGCTTCTCTCTCTGCTTCTCTCTCTGCTTCTCTCTCTGCTTCTCTCTCTGCTTCTCTCTCTGACCCATCGGTGACACTACTGAATGCCGAGGTCGACTCCAGACTTTTTATCACGCATCCCTGTCCGACCTGCGGAATCCCTGCTCAACAAGCCCCCTCATCCGCGCCAATTTAGCTGGCTTTTCTCCTCAGATGCGGGGAAGTCAACGCTACCACGAGCCCAGAACCCCACACCACCAACAAGACGGACCCTCTGGCAAAAAGGCAGGTCTGGTTGCTGAATGGTCACCATCCACTGGCTAGTCTTCAGTGACAAGAGCCTGGAAACAACAGATGGAGCCAGGCTGGTGACAAGCGCAAACTGACATGCCAAGACGCGTGCTTCTTTAGACTAGTACGACGGCCATGTCCTGGGGAAAACATTGGCAGCCCGTATTGCAACTGCATGACAGCGGTGGCGGCGCGTGGCCTTGAGCCGAGATTTTCCCACCTCGGCTTTGACGGATGTGACGGCTTGCTAAGACGTTATGAATCTGGCCTGCAGCCGAGGATTCGCCAAAACCCCTGCGGCCTGGCCGTTTTACCCAGGGGACCTCGGGTTGTTCCTCGGGTCTTCGAGAAGGCGGAATATCACTCGTCAAAAGCCGTCGGTCTATCGAGCACTTCTTCAGCCGGTGCTACATCACTATCAGCGTTCTTCCCGTGCTCTCACCACCGCTGGATATCAGCCTCTGGAAAACAAGGCTATCTGGCATATTTGTCAGACGCCCACATCGGTGAGGTCGTGATACAGCACTTCTATCCACATTCTGGAGCTGGTGGAGTTCCTGGGGAAGTGGAAGCGGTGGATGCTGCTTGGAGCTGGTGTGTCCTGCGGGGTGAACTAATCCTCCGGTCCACACCATTGGCCTCCTCTGGCAAGTTTTACCATTGACGAATCGGTTGGGGGGATGCCTGTCGCACGCGGCTTGGGCCGATCAAGGTGACTGGAGGGACGGGCAAAAACATCGTGCATTTTGTGCTGTCGAGACGAAGTGCCGTGTTCAGAGCTATCCCCGAAACCCGAACATCGCATAAGAGGACACGCCTGCTCGCCCATCCATGGCGGCATCCTAGCACTTTTCAAGGGAGGAATTCCCCCTCCTGGCATTTCTGTCCGTGGTGTGTGGGTTATCCCCAGGTTTCTCACTTTCCCTGGCTCCGCCGTCGTCAACCCCAGACCCCAGACCCCCAGATTTCAACCCCAGACTATTCCACTAGAGGCTCCTCCCTGGAAGTGCCTGGCTTGGTTGGCAGAGCTGCCCAAGGGCTAGGGTGTTATCTATTGGGATCGCTGGTGGATCGCCGTGGCCAACATTTCTATTTCTATTGGCATCCAGCAACCTCAGTCTCCAGACGCACGAACCCAACTGTCCCAACGAGGTGGATACGCTACATGCTCAACGACATCCAGCGGATGCGGGGTGGTAGACTAGTCTGTATACGGGAAGCTCAGCTGTACCTTGTCTCGTCACGGCTCTTGTTTTCGGACGTGGCGATGGGGCTCTGAAGGAAAGAAAATGGAACGGACTCCCCCGGTCCTGATGCTTTTGACAGCTCCTTGACCCGTCACTCCCGTCGTCTTTTTTATACCCCAAATCTCCAACTTTCTGTTTTCATCTTGGCCTTTCGTCATCAAGCATCCATTGTTGTTTCTTCTCCATCTTCACATCATGTCAACAGGGGCTGTGTCAACAGGGAGGCGCAAATCACCTCTCGAAGGAGTGTCTGACAGGTCTAGTCAAGACCGCACCACCAGCCCCAGTCCCTCCACTCGCTCATCGAGCAAGCCACAGATCAGACACAGAGCCTCCATTGCGTGTGCCTCGTGCCGTGAGAGACGAATTCGTTGTGTCGTGGCCGAGGGAGAGTCAGAGTGCACCCAGTGCAGGAAGACGGGCCACACATGTATCATCAAGAACGATGACGAGCGAAGAAGGTGAGTTGTGCCATTCTGCCTCAGTTTCATGGCCAGACCAGGCTGACAGATGAATAGGCCAATATCCAAAGCCTACATGTCATCACTATCCAATCGAATTGCTCTCTTGGAGGAGATGTTGAAGGAACAAGGAGTCACACCCCCTCCCGCTGTCCACCCTCCAAAGACAAGACAAGACGCCATCTCGAGACAACAACAACAACAACAACAACAACAACAACAACAACAACAACAACAACAACAACAACAACAACAACAAGAGCAAGAAGAAGCTCGGATGCGGGAAAGGTCGACCAGTTCTGAGCCCAAGCATGGGAGTTCGGTCGAGATCCAGGTTCCCACACCACCAGGCTCAGGCGAGGAGGACACCCTCATGAGCGAGTCAGAACAGAGCAAGACCATTGACTTGACGGACATGACCTCATCATCATCATCATCATCATCATCATCATCATCATCATCATCATCATCATCATCATCATCATCATCACTGATCGATCCGCTATTATTGCAAGAGCTCGGGACAACGCCAGATGCCGATGTCCGGAGGTTGCTGTCAGCAAGGGGCAGCCACTCGTTCGATCCATCGGCTGGGAGGGTTCGATTCTTTGGCCCCACCGCCAACAGCCATGTCCATGGAAAATCGACATGCCTGTTTGACAATGAGGGCCGTCCAGACCGGGCACGAAGGGCTGCCACCTTGATCGAGACGCTGGGCTCGTCCACCATTGACTACCTTACCAAGTGCTTCTGGGAGCATTACTTCTACTCTGGCTCCATGGTCGTCGATAGGGCGGCATTTGAAACGGGCAGACTGACACAGGACCCCAAGTTCTACTCCCCGTTCCTTCACCTCACCCTGTTGGCCATTGGCTACCGGTTCGCTGACCGCACCCGGGACGATATCAAGAAGCTCTCTGTCGGAAGCCGCGAGAGCACACTCCACCGGGAAGCGAAAGGCCTGTTGGAGGTTGAGATTGATCAAGGTGGCGGTGTCCCGAGCGTCCAGGGAATGCTGTTGCTGGCTGACTTGGAGTTTGGCGTCGGCCGTGACAGCGCTGGATGGATGTATCTGGGTATGTTGCCTTGCAGTCATGTGTTTGCCGTTGCCGAAGCTGATCGTTTGGTGATTTTGTAGGCATTGCAAACCGTCTTGCCTTCGATATAGGTCTCCACGTCAACTACAGCGGGGTAGACATCTCCGAGACGGAAAGGCGGCTGCGGCGTCAGGTTATGGCGGGCTCCATCGCGTTCGACCGTCAGTGGGCCTTGATCCTTGGTCGTCCAACCTCGATCAAGGCTCAAGACATCGGCATCGACCTCCTATCCAAGGGTGCCTTCAACTCGACACATGGCCAGATGACTGCCGAGGCCAAAACATATGCGGCTGGCCAAGCTGCCCTCCAGCAGAAGCGCTTTGAGCTTATGGAGCTGGCTGGCAAGGTATCCGACCTGCAGAACACGACACATGGCATCTCAGATTTGACTGCCAAAGCCGCCGAGGACAGAACCTATCTCTACTTTCTGGCCTT